AGACTCAATCTACCAGGGTTTTTGGACAACGCAAGAGAAGAGTGAAGCATTGCATGTTCATATTTGTCCTGTCTTACTTTAACAACTTGGAGATAATACAACAGAGCCGCAATTGAAAGAGAATTACTGCATGGAAAGCATTTTATATCTTTGCAAGTATTTACAGTAAGAAGGGCATGAATAGCCGTCGTGGAATGTGGTAGAGGCCCCATACGAGGCCATAGGGTCATGCGGAGCCTAATGGCTATTGCACCAATCCTATGTCGGGGGACTTTGTCTAGCAACTGCCTGCGTACTCGACACAGATTCCCCAGGGCCGTTTCAACCTGGGGAAAAAAGAACATATGCTCTTCTATAGACTCGCCAGATGTCGAACCAAACCGAGCTAGTCGACGCTCTATCTATTGCACCTCTTCGGGGAAAAAAAAGGGAACGCTGACTTGTAGAAATTATCGCTAGTCTGAGTAGAAATGAACGGAGAATCTGGACCCGTCCACTTGAAGCCGGACAGATTGTCGTTATTGGGGTTAAAAAACATTCATTCAAGGGAGACCCCCGGTCCCATATTCTGCAGGCTCGGTTTCATCCTAGATAATATGTCGCGGATCCAGATCCGTGGCAAGACATGAGGGCGTTGTCGATATACCAGAAGACTTCTGCCAGATAGCGTGAAGGTCAAGATCGAAATCACAGTCACTAACTTTAGCACAAAACACGCATTGAAAGAAACAGGTACGGACAATACTCGCTCATTTCGTCCATTTCAATTCAGGATCTGCTGGTGGGAAATTACAGAAGTGTATAAAGTAGCATTTAACGGGTTGGGAGGGACAAGATGCCGCAAGCTGAGCAGAGATCTTATTTATCTTCAATTATAGAAGACCAGGGCACGTTAGGAGGGCTTTACGGTCAGACCCTAAGGTCTCGAAAACCAAGCGCTGGAAATATCAACAGCTGTGGAACGTTGACACTTCGTCACAGAACCCGATTAATTTCATCCGCAATTGCATTCGCATTCTCTATAATTAGCGAAAATAACTGGTAGAGAGCACCAATACACAGCAGAAATATCCAAACGTGTCCTTATCCACGAGCGCCCCACAATATACTGAGACCTTATCAATTCCCATCAACATGATAGGCTTGAGGATCGCTCGCTTGCAAGGCTGAAACCACGCCGTTACAAAGGGCCTGAAATGCTCGTTTTCGATCCCACAATACCAGTTTCTGTTCCTCGCAAAGCTGCAGAAGGATGTCACTGTCGCTTGCTAGCCACTCATTCAACTCTTGAAGCTGTCGCTGCTCATCCTCAAGTCGCATCTTCTCGGCAGATTTGACGACGTAGCATTCCCATAGGCAAAAGTACAGGTCGAGCAGTTTCAGGGCTGGCGTAGCGAGGGTGTCATTGTATTGTAGAATTTTCATAAACTCCGCCGTCAGGGCACCAGGTGTCACTGGGATCTGCAGAGTATTAGCGTATCTGTTCATTTCCTGCCGAAGAGGGTATGGCTGACCTTGGGCTCGATGATTGTGCCGTTTGAAGATTCTTGTGGGTGGTTTTCCAAGGAGTCATCTTCTCCCTGTTGGGACATCCGACGCTGTCTCTTGGCTGGCCGATCAATTGGAGAACGCGAGGTGGGATTGTCCATCGTGGCTGTGGAAATGAAATGGAGGAAAAGTTCTGCTCGAGAGCCTTTTATAGACCGGCAAGTCACAGCAAGGCTGCTGTGACTGCACTCATAACCCCTCGGGTCTGGTTTTCAACAGCGCTGAATAGTTCAGTAAACAGTTACCTCAACCGTTGATGCTCGATCTCACCTGTTGTTCACCCAAATACTCAGTTATATGAGGAATTGGGCGACAGGTGAAGCCTTACAACATACATTGCAGATGATATCCCTAATGGTGGCATGCAAGTGTATTCCTGATGCATTCGATCCTAAATCGAGTAGAGTTCGTTGAAGTTAATTGTGACGTTATTGTGACTGCGAACCATCTGAACGACGGTGATGCAGATTTCGATTTCAGATAGTGCTTCATATCACGAGAGTTACCTAAATTAAATATCACTCGCTTTTACAGACCACGGCCCAAGTGTCTCCCTGGCAACGGCGCCAAAATCGTTTGACCGGAGTTATCGTCTTCTATCCGGTTCCCAATGATCCTTCGGATGTAATAGTCACTTCCCAACTCTAAAGATCTCCTGAAACTACCATTTTGTCAGTCTTCTACACACTACAAGCGCAATACAATTGGGACTTATCAAAAAAAAGTTAACTGCTTGTTTCCCAAAGCTTAAGCGAAAGCTTCAAAATTCATTCAAAGTCTTTTCTCCCAGTCGATCAAAATATCTCCCAAATATCCCTGCCACCGCTTCTGAATCCGAACGCACGCGGCGATCAGCTGCCCCATCCCCAGAGGTGTCCCCAACAAACATAAAAAACCATGAAAAAGAAACAACAGACACCTCGATTGACTTGCAATCCATCACCACAGAGCGCCACAAAACAGAGTCAAGCTCAACTCATCATCTGACTCAGATCCCGCGAGGAGAGTAGCAGGCTGGGCGGGTAAGTTGTGAAAAAGCAAAAGCTTTCGGGTGGCCACTTCCGTGGGAAACTTGTGACAGTTGCCAGAGAACGTCAATCAACTTTCTTTATCGGAGAACACCGTACTGATCACTGGAGGCATGTAACGGATACAGCTCAACTGAAGGGGTTTCTCGTCTTGAGAAGATCTGGACGACGGATTTTCACGGCTCCGGCCAACCTAAGCACCGCTCGATTTGCCTCTTCGGGCAGTATTTCCTTGTTTTTGAGAAGGCCTCATTGGGGAACACGGCCATGTCAACGCTGTAGGGCATGCTGCTTGGCCACGCATGTACCAATAGAGGCGAATCATGAGTTTCCGACTGACCCATGACATCTTTGGCTTGATCTAGGCGAGCATCTAACAAACGCAAAATTCGGTTGGCCCACACCTTTCGTCGAGAGCTATGGCGTCTGCACTCAAAACAAAGAAATTGCTTTGCAGCCAAAGATAATCTCTGCGCTAAATGATATGCGAAAGAGGAGTTATGGGAGAGCTGAAAGCACAATACTCCATTTATCCGGCAATCAATCGGCACGGTGTTTTGACAGTGATCCCATATGCACCGCTCACGGTGCAGTGGATCGCCCAATGCTTGGCCCAATACCCGTTGGAGATGAGTAGGATTCCAGGCCATGATGAGGAATAGCTGTAAACGCCTCGGGGTGATTGTGAGATCTGGGGTGTAGTCTTCTGTTTGGAGAGTTCTATTCTCGAGTGGTATCTGTGATCAAGTAGGAAGAGTGCAATATATAGATGCTTGAGAAAGCACGTAGTGGGACTTTTCATCTCGCTGGGCCTTTACATGCCTGAGCATGAAGTCTGGGCTTAATTGGCCACCAAAATTTCTGGTCTCATTCCTGGAAAGACGGTGTTAATTCCTGGGAGCTCTAGTCTCATTGTTCAGGGTTATACATGAAGCATACGCGATGCGTGGAGAAATGATATGCGGGACGTGCATCTGGGCTCCCTTGAACGCGAGGAAGCAGAAGCGGCTTTCTCGCGCTACGTCTTGTATCTAGAGTCAACTATAGTTGTTCTTAATATTGATTATTCACCTCGAGACAATATCAGCCTCTATGTATACGTGAGACCCTCACACCCGAGCCAGAAGCTATTGGGAGTATCGCTTCATTTCCAGAACGAAACCGAGACCCAATAGTTCTGACGCGCTGCTACCTTGTCTGGGGTTTCAGCTAAGTGCAACCTTTTTGAGTGTGAAGACACCCAACTTTGGGGTCGGCGGGATAATCTTTGACAAATCCTCTTGCCGGTTTTGATTGGACTGTGGGAATTAATGCATTGGCCCTGGAAACTCCAAAAGCAAATCTAGGAGCTGTGTATCCATTGGGAGCCCCAACTTAGCTCTTGGGGCCCTCATATTCCTGAGGAACTAAAAGTTATTCCTGGGACCTTCAGTCAATTTCCTGAATGAATAGTAAATGGCTTGGGGGATACATCGTCTGGACCTGGGAGCTGTTGCACTCCTGGGGCCCTACCTCTGGGTCCTAGAGTCAATCCTATGCCTCCGAGGGTCAAGAAAAATCCTTACTAGACACCTTCACCAGAGCTGCGCACAAATCTGAGTCATTCGATCATTCCCAGAAGGTCAATTCATAGTACCAGGAACTACGCCTAAGTTTCCAGGAGTTAATGAAGCTATTGTCAAGGATATACATGAAGCATACGGAACGGATGGAGATATGATCTGCGTGGGACCCACATGGTGTACATTCCCCTAAACGCGAGGAAGCTACCTTTCTTTTGCTTCCTCGCGCTACGTCTTGTACCTAGAGTCAACTATAGTTGTTCTTAATATCGATTGTTCATCTTGAAACACTATCCACCTCTATGTGTACGTGAGACCCTCACAGCAGCCACTGGTCATCCCAGGATCGACGAAAGTGTCTCTAGGATCAGAATTTCTTCAAGTATGGATGAAGAAACTTCAGGGCAGTTTCACGTACGGGTCCACTCCCGTCACAAGTTGGTTTTGCAGCCAGAAGTCGTAGAGGATAATAACCAGTGAGAAAAGTGGGAATGCTCGCAGCCCGATTCAATCGATCAACAGACGATCATGTGTTGGTAGGATTTGTGTTTGAATAGTAGGCTTCCTAATCCAGCATGACAGGTCACATCTCCTATGATGGATTTGAAACCCCCTTCTGATGCTTCAATATTTTGCGCGATTATACAAGGGGGAAACTACCTCCACTGCGTTTGAGGAGTATGTTTGTTTATGTTGTGTGTTCCTGCTTCTTAGGGTCACATGTCCTTCAGTTATCTATACCCTCCAGAGCTCAGATAGATCTTAGCCTCTTTAACTCCCTGAATTGATCCTCTCCTCCCCTAATTCTGCTCCTCAGCCTTCCTTCAAACAGAGTAGAATATAATTAGAGATATCAAATAGTCTACACGGCGTAATACAGCTGCCCAGTACCCTTCCCTTCTATGGCCGATTTCGCTAGACTATCTGCCATCCCGTTCCGTTCTCGGGGCACCATCCAAAATTTGACAGAGATATCCTGTTCAAGTTGTTCAATTAGCCGCTCAATCCGTTGGAAATAGGTAGAATTCGCGACTGGAGAGCCCTTAGCATTCTTCCAGCCATTTTTCTTCCACTTCGGGAGCCACTCAGTCAGGCCCCGCACCACGTACTCGGAATCAGACTTGATCACAATTGCACTAAGGCGATCATCTGCCATGTCCCATTCTGCCTGGATAATGATTGCATCAGATAGAGCTCTCGAGCAAGCCTCCAGTTCGGCTATCTGGTTTGTGTGACGGTCAAAGCTGTCTAAAGTATAGGAGATATTGAAGCCGCTGTCGTAGCCATGGAATACCCCAATCGCCGAACGCGCCTCGTCGTTGCCATTGTTCGAACATGCCCCATCAATCGCAATGACAAGGCAGTCATTGTGGGCCACGTGTGCGTTACAATGGGGGCACTTTCGCTTTGATCCGGGGCATGCAAGATAGATGCGGTCTCCTGTCGGAACCTCAATGTCGTCTTGGCTGAAATGTTGAGGGTATACATTTTCAGGGTGAAATTGGCGGCCGTGAGTCAAGTCGATATCTGGAGGCAGTGGTGGGGATGAGACAGATGAACAGCTGCCTTGGTTGAAGAGAGAGCCTGGGCCATGAGCAGAGGAACTATGCATCTCTTCCACATGGTTAGAAACCTGATCGTCCTTTGCTGAGTTAGTATTGAACCAAGCGAAGAGAAACCAACAAAAAAAAAGGGCTAAGAGCGAGGTGGATGTACAGTTTCAGGTTTGCCCCGAAATCCATCCATGTGCCCACCCTTACCTTGCTAGAACTGGGGGTATTTCTTCTCCTATATCGTCTTTGCATCCTGTTTGGTCTGTGGAATAGGCACTTCGATTTTATGGGAGTTGCGGAAAGGTGGGGAATGGGGGATGGGGGCGTAATCTCCTTCACTAAATCTGCGATCATGTGATGTACTTTAGATTAGTCACCAACGCAACCTTTCCCGTTTTGGTTTCTGTTTACACGGGCACCCAGCTCAGCGGGACCCGTGAAAAGTTCAACGTTACCTCAGTTACCTCAGCCGCCCCCAAAAAGGCGGTGAATTTGGCCATCCACCGCCTGCTGTTTCCAGCGATGCTGACACACCTTTTTTGGGGAACGTCTGAGCTGGGAATTTGGTGGTACCATACAAGTTTCCGGGGTTTTTGCCCGTGTTTATATGGCGAAGTTTCCAGGCGCGTCTTTCAATATTTCCAAGTTTCTCGCGCACCCACGCGAATATTAAGAATCGGGCGACGATGTCTTCTGCATCTTTCTGAGCTGAACCCATTGACACCAAAATTGTATGTATAACTGGAAAGGTGGGTGAGAAATATGTCCTTAAAATACCCGAAGGAACCCTTTCTTAAGCTGTCAAAGCCATTATATGCCCCAAGTATTCCGCCAAAACCTCCATGAAGCATATATTGACATATTTTAATGTATAGTGGCTACATCTGATCCACAATATTAACTCTATCGCGTGAGAATTGACTCCAAACCCGCCTCACGATGCCAGATCGACGCCCATCACGACGGAAGCCTCCTCGGAAATATAACGCGAAACTGAACGACCCCGGAAATGGACAGACACAGTTGGATAACTGGTTGGCCTCTGAGAATAATCGACCTTCTTCAAAGGCTGGAGAGCCTATTGAATTGGGAGTGGAGTACGAGAATGAGGGCGCAACTGTCTTGCTGGAGAAACAACAAGTTGAGAAGAATTCAGTTCTTCAAGCGCAGAAACTGATTCGCGATGCGTCTGAGAAGCGTAAGGATGAACAGGACCAAGCCATCAGACAAGCAATTCGAGAGCTGTATCCCTATTATCCACGTGCGGGTCAGTTGCAAGCATTGAGACAATTGATCTACCTGAGAAAGGACCTTATCCTGATTGCGAAGACGTCATTTGGGAAGAGTATGATATTGCAAGCAGTGTCACTCTTGCTTGATAAGTCTATCACCCTTGTTGTGCTTCCATTGAATCAAATTGGCGTTGAGCAGACCAATTACATCGAGAACATTGGAGGGCGACCTTGTTTCCTAAACAGGGAAACATTCTCATCCGAACTTCTTGACAGGGTACAAGCGGGCAAGTTCACACATGTCCTCGTGAGTCCAGAGCTTGCAATCAGTGACAAGTTCCGTTCAACTGCTATGCATCCAGGTTTCCGAGACCGGCTGGCTCTGGTTGTTGTAGACGAAGCTCATCTTGTGGCTCAATGGGGCAAAGATTTTCGAACGGACTATGCGCGATTGCATCAATTGCGAAGTCTATTCGGCAGTGGCGTCCCCTGGTTTGCATGCTCTGCTACGCTTGATATGAATACATTGCGCGTTGTTATTGAGGGACTTGGGTTTCCAAAGGATGTTGAAATCTTGCGGACATCCGTCAATCGTCCAGAGTTGCTCATTCAAACAGCTTGGATCCCACAAGGCGCGCATAAGAAGGCAACGGCCTTGCGTTTCCTGTTTGACAATGGTCCTTGTCAGCCCATTTTACGACCGTCACGAATCCCAAAGACATTGGTATTCTTTGACTCGAAGAATGATGCATATACTGCCATGGAAAATTGTCGGTATTGGCTGCAGCATAACAAGCAACCAGATGGGGCAAGTGTTCAACATTGCAACTATACCCTCAAAGAGGCAATGGATACGGTGAAGGTCTACCATAGCGACACCGCAAAGGGAGACAAGGAAGCAATGATCAAAGAGCTTCAGAAACCCGGACCGCAATCCAAGCTTCGTGTCCTCATGACCACCGAGGCACTAGCGCTCGGAGTGGACCTCCAGGATATTGATCAAGTTGTCATGTATCGGTTCCCCAAAAACCTACAACCAGCAACGCTCTGGCAACGCGGTGGTCGGGCATCTCGCCTTGGACAGGATGGAAAGATCGTTATTCTCGTTGATCAGTGGATACAGGGGCGTATCAAGAAACGTGCCGTGAAACGCAAGATTCATACAGAAAATGATGATCTAGCGGAAGACAACCCACTGGCCGATTCAGATGATGAAGTCAAAGAAGCAAACCCTGAGAGACCACAGAAAGGTGGACGCTTAAGTCATGAAGAGCGACGTGCTGTGTTGCCTGAATTTTGGTATCTCCTTGCCAATGAGCCTACAGAATGCCTCCGGAAACGGTTCCTGGACTACTTCAATGAACCTGAAGAGTTCAGATGTAATCCTCGGCGAGACCGGTGCTGCAGCAACTGCAATCCTGAGTATCAGCTCAATGATCCAACTCGTTATCTGTATACTGAGCACGGTCCGAGGTCAGGACAGATGGACGAGATAATCATCAACCAGTTAAAATATTGGTCCAAGGAGGTCCTTTCAAGCGCTTTGAACGGAGTGAAGTTCATACCTGATTGCTCAAGCATACTGGCAGAAGAACAATATGTCCATCTTGCGATATATATTGAAAATGCCACCTATTCGGAGCGGGAATATTTCCAGGCAAAGGATCTTCAGACAATATTGGGAATATGGGCTTTGTCGAATCAGCTTGCTGAGGGTCTTGTGGATGTCTTGAAGAATGCATATCAAGCAGCCTTTATGGCCACTATTCAAACCCCTGCAAAGAGGAAGCGTGTGTCGAATGACTCTAGTCAAATGAGTGAATGCAGCAACCTCACATGGTCTTCTGCAGTCACGCCAGAAAGCACCAGTCAACCAACTCCATCTCGGAATATCTCTCCGTGGGTTGATATTAACACGCCATCCCAAGCTTTTATGGACATGCCTCCTCCTTCGGCAACTCCAGTTCCCAAACGCAAGGCCCTCGGTGTGGTATCAGGAAATGGGCGTCGCGTGATGAAGGGTGGAGAAGACCTAGGTTCTAAGGTCTGGTAGAGAATGATGAACAATCCATCTGATGCATTCCATCAATGTGTGTCAGTCACCTTATAATATAGCGTGGGAGTATTATCAATGGAATGAAGAGAAGTATAGCTAAAGCTGTCCCGGCAGCAACCTGCTATTCAGTGTCATGTGTCATTCTCTTCAATCTCATCTAGAACAGCAATAGGAGTCGATGTCATCTTGCTAAAATCAACTTCTTGTGCCCACTGTCCGTTGACGACGAGGCTATTGAAGTTCTGTACGGCTTTGAAGAGCTTTTCGCCAATTGTTTCTGTGAGTATATCACATGGTTGAAAGCCTCTTGTCCGACCATTTGGTTGCTTTTGGATGCACTTCGAGATCTGATAAGCTAGATGACGAACATCCTGGCTAGCATCCTTATTTTGGTGTCGCCCATTGCTATATTCTCCAAAGGTAGCCTCCAGAAGCTCCTTTAGATCAGTACAGTAGCTGGCTGTGAGAGCAGTTCGACGGAACATGGTAGTGATGTCCAGATTTGAGGTCCGTCGAGTCGACATGAGTGTCTTCATATGAAGATTGAAGAACTCATTCAGTCGATCAATTTCGAACCAACCGTCCTCCGCACCCCGTAGATTCACAAGTCCGTTGGCAAGAATGGCAGTCTGCAGCTCGGGATCAGCTGCTTTGGTTTGAGTGAGCCATGTCATATACAAGGAGAGGAAAGAATATCGGGTTTTCTTTGTGCCAGGGAAGAGGAGACAACATTGTGCAAAGATCCGCTGGATAATTCCAATGTCACCAAGTTTGATGGCAAGCTTCAAGGACTTGTAAGTCTCCATCTGCTGAAGGAATTTCGCATGTGCTGAGAACTCATAGTCGACTGGTTCTCCTTCTCGTTCACGAACCTTAGACTGCTGCTCTTTAAAATGGAACAGAGACTGGCGTATCTGATCCACAACGTCCAGGAATTGACCCCTTCCGAGGCTTTGAATCCAATCATCCACATCTTTAGCATCCGCGAAATTGACTGTTAATGGGACAAACTGATAGAACATGGCCGTGACGCGAGCGTCAAATGAGCGAGTAGCCACCTCTTCTTTATGGTGGAATGGACTTTTGTGTCCCTGTACGCAACCGAGACAGACCTTATTATGATGGATCGTCGATTCAACGGTAGGGTGGTCTGTCCCAGCATAGAGCTCAAAGATCATATCCAAGTAGTTCATACGCCAGTGGAACAGTCCGGGGATTGGCAATATCCAGCTGAAACGATCGAAAAGACGAGAAGCCTCCGCACGTTCTTTTTTGACGGCACGAAGGAGTGACACTGTTTTCTGATCTCCATAAACCAGTTGTAAAAGCCCATCAAGGTCTGTATCATCATCATCCCCCAGTTGCTCCAGAAAGACATTCTGAATGACCTTGTATGTCCCCTCTGTCGTGCCTTCGTTGTATAACATTGGCCCAAGGCTGTAGTGAATTGTCTTCTGCGCTTGCAGTCGTTTAACTGCTGGGAATTCAGGCCAGTCAATAAGATGGGCTCGCGGTTTCATCTGGCCTGGTTTGACGCACGCTTCCGCAGTAAATAGTTTCTCTACTGCCTCCCGATGAGTATAGCGAATGGCCTCTGCAATCCAATGGCGCTGACATTGATGGAAGATCTCATCATCCTGATTGCCTGGTGCCATGTAGATATCATGAGGACTCAGTGCAACCTCTGGATGGAACATAGATCGGAGAAGCCCTCCTGCAGGGATGGACTGACCGATACAAAGCTTGCCAGTGGTGGCGGAGATATGCTCTG